GTTGCAGAAATATAAGGCAGGGGAAATGATGACAGGAGAATTAAAAGAACGTTGTATTAAAGTCTTACAAAAATTTGTCGGAGATTTTCAACAGGTATGACCCTTTGTAATTTTACATAATTTTATAAAGATTATTGAATGTTATCTCCTCTCAAAAAAAAAAGCGCAAATCTGAAGTAACTGAAGAAACTTTAAAGGCATTCATGGATCCCAATAGAAAAATTTTATTAGAAAAAAATTAAAAATATCATTATTTCCAAACTTAGAAATTGCATATAGGTAACTAAGATATATCGTCAAATTTTCATGGTAAATTTTACTAAAATTTGAGGCTTATAATTAAAATGTTTTATCTATAGTGGTAAATTTTAGATCTAATAAATTAATTTGTCAGAATTATAATAAAATAATTAAAATAAAATATAAATTTCACGGATATCAATCTTCAAATTCTCGTAACAATTTTTATAAAAAAAGGGTAAAACGTATTCTTTTTTCTAAATTGATCTAAATTTATTTGTCACCGGTGGTTTCAGTCACCAAGACAATTCGACTGCACGATTCAAAAATCAAACCATAATAACTCAAAATTATGCCTATGAAACCAACTTTTGTTCTTAGCAAAAAAAAATTTTTTGCAAAATTTTACTATAGATTATGAACTACTTTAATTTTAGATCAAACTATAATAACTCAAAATTATGCCTATGAAAACTTTGCGTTTAAAAAAAACATGCTAAATTTTTACCATATATTATGATTTACTTTAGATTTAACTTTAGGTTACTGTTATTACTATTTACAATTATATTTTTATTTTTAAAATTATATAGCATAGTATTTTTATATTATAATTTTATCTTATTCTAACTCTAACTCTAGCCCTGTTTTAATTATAATTTAACTCTAATTATAGTTATAGAATTTTTATTAAAAAATTTATATATTTTAATACAGTACTAGACAGTAAAACATCCAATATTTTTAGAATATATCTGGATTAATCTGGAATCTTTTTTAAATTTGTTTCAACCTGTCTCTATTAATATGATTAGTAACTTCATATGTTTGTTGTGCCTTTTATTTATTATACATATTTAAGCCTTTTTTGATATAAAAGTAGTAAATATATATTGCCAATCTTTTTATAAAATAAATTAAATCATATTGGCCAATTTGTAAAATTAGCAATAACTTTTGATTCACTAAGCCATTTGTGATGATTTTATTATCAAAATGTTCATATTAATAAGATGATTCTAATAAATTCAAAATCATTAAAATCTGATTACAGGATCCTAAAATCATTAAACTTTTGTATGATTTTACTAGTAATTTTTAAGTTATTATATAAAATATCTTTGATATCGAATAATTTTTGATCTACTAGTTTATTTTAAATAATTTTACTTTCAAAATGATTACTTCAGTAAAACAATTCTAACAAATATCGGTATAAAATTATAAAATCTAATTACAGGATTACAAGATCATTAAGGATCAGTATATATATAGGCAATCAATTGAGAAATAGATTGCATATATAAATTTATATATACAATTCATTTCTTAGTTAATTGTTTATATATATACTAATTCTTAAAGATCTTGTAAACCTGTAATTAGATTTTAATAATTTTGTATTCATTAGAATCATTTTACTAAGGTGATCATTTTGATAGTAAAATTATCTAAAACAGACTAGTAAATCAAAAGTTATTTAATATTAATAATATTTTACATATATCTAAAAAATTTTTTTAGTACAGTTTTGTACAAAATTGCAAAAAAATAAAATAAAAATTTGTGTAAATCTTCAAACCTGCCAATTATAATTACAGAAAATTAAATACAATTTTGTAAAAAATTTCAAATTTAAGGATGTGACAACTTAATGAAGTTGGTAAGTTGTCACACCCAAGTAGCAGAACAAGAGTTTGAATTCCACTAGCAATAAAATTCAAATTTTACAGAATATATTATGACAAACTGTGTGTAATCTGATAGATCATCAAATTTGTAAACTTGGTCATATCAGCTCATACTAGGAGGCTGTAGAACATTAGTATATTGCATAAATTACACGAAATCTGAGTGAAACAGCTGGGTTAATTCAGGTATTGGGGCACACGGAAGCCTGCTTGGCAAGCTCTAAGTAGAGAGATAGCACAGATCTTTGATAGTATTATGTAAAGGATTATCTAAGGGATCTGAACACCAATTTTAATGATCTGGATGAAAACCAAGTGTTTGGTAAAACACTATACTAACCAGGCTGCTAGATAAGTAACTGAAGAAAAAGAATCTAAACATGGAGACCAGAAGCAGGTCACAGCCCCTCTAGACTATCTGAATTGGAAGTTTGGATTATTGACAAAACTTAGATACTAGTGATAGTCTGTATAGTAGATATTGAGACTTTGTAAAGGTAGTAGTAAATAATGATAGCAGTTTTAGCTTACAAGACTTGTTCTTGGACTTAATGTAAATTACTGAAGACTAGGTTAGCCAAATTGTGGGTATAGAAAGCTCTAGCAATGATGTCTTAAGGATAAATTAGTCCTAAGGTTATGGTATGCATCCAGAACTTCTTGACTGACAAATATAGCAAAGATGTTTTGGTGATACAAGAGAAATGTATATATTACAGAGAGTTTAAATAGATAACTTTCTAGTCGAGTTATAAATATAGCAATTAGTGTAGTCTCTGCAGCATAATACTAATATACAGACTACTTAAATAGGCAATCAAAAGTTGCATGTATGATTAGTTATATTTTCTAATATAATTGAGGTTCCGCTGTGAGCTTCCCATCCAGTATACTTAAATAAAAACCCTATACCAAAGAGGCTAATTAATAAAAAAAAAACAATTTTAAATTTGAAAAATTTTTTATAAAAGTTCTGCAAAAATCTGTATTTTAACAGGTTTTACAGATTTGTACTTATTTAATTTTCTTGATATAGTAATTTAAAAATTATTAGTAAAATTATATAAAAGTTTAACAAAGAAACAGCTATCTTTTTTTACTTTTTTTACCTTTTCTACCTTTTCTATCTTTTTTATTTTTTTACTATTTCTTATTATTTCTATTAGTTAGGAAAAGATATATAAATACTAACTTTTCTCCTTTCTATTAAATAGTTAAAATAGACTCAGATAGTTTAAATTAGATACAGATAGACTTAAATAAATACAGATATCTCTTTAGTTATAAAATTCTCTCTTATAATTAAAGCTTTATATATCATAAATAAAATATATCTTTCTTAAACTATATATTTTTTCAAACTGCTCTTAGTGAAGTTATATTCTACTTTCACACTGCTACATTATTATAACAGATCTCTGTAGCTGTGTGCTTTGTTACTTGTGCTGTATTAAGAAGGCTATAGTCTACTTGTAACAATTTGGTGCCTCCTGGCGAA